CCCCCTGCCCGGCCGGTGAGGCGCGGGGCGGCGCGGCGCGAGCACGCTCCCGCTCCCGGTCACGGCAGCCACCGCGTGTCTCGGCCCGCAGGTACCTTCGTGCTGAGCGCCGGCTGCCGGCCCTGCCCGCCCGACACCTTCTCCAGCGCCGCGGGACGGAACCGCTGCAGCCTCTGCCGCAGATGCGAAGGTACCGGCACCCGCTGCGGGCGGCGGCGGGGGAGCCCGGCCAGGCGGCAACGGGGACGGCGTGGCCTCTCTCCGGGCTGCTGGACCTGCGGGGGGATGAGCGCTTATTCTTAAATGTTTCGCTTATCCAATGCAGGATAAAATAATTTGCACTAACTTGTCATTTCATTGCAAGCAGAAAATAGCACCGGCCAAATAACGGGATGCACATGCCCAAGCTCTCCCTAAACTGATGGTTTACTTTGTGTCAGTGGTCGAGCAAACGTCTTTGTTCTTCCGCTGCTGCAGTCGTTAGGTTTGAATACATGTCTAACGTGGGAGTTGCTTCTGCCTTTCAGGAAGATTCAGGTATCTAAGACAGTGTTCACCAGAAAGTGATGCTGAGTGCACGTGCAGGGACGGGTATCACTGCACCGGCAACGGCTGCTCCCGCTGTGACAAGAACTGCGGCGTGGGCAAGGAGAACACGGGCAGCGGTAAGGTCCCCTTTCCCTGTTAGTTTAAGCGCCTGCGTCAGCTGCACTGAGCACGGTGCAGGAAGGGGAGCTGTAAGGACCTCCAGCAGACAAAACCCGCCAGCGCTGCTACCCTCGCCGCATACTCCATGGAACGAGCAGTCAGCCGTGCTCACCAAAAGCTGAGCCCTGTGCAGACTCAAATCACACCTTTGGTTCCCTTTTCATGGCAGCAGCCTYGTAGCCAGCACAGGCGATACAGAGCTGAGAACACTGCAGTTAAATGCAAGGAGCAGCAGCTTCTGCTAAAATGGTTCAGCAGCCCAGTATTACATATTGTCCATGGCTTCTGCACTGGGCACAAATAAAAAAATGCCTTGTAAACTCAGAACAGCTTGTAAAATATTAATTCATGGCAAGTATTTATGAATGTGGATTGTTGCTCATGTACGAACAGATGGTAACAATGCTGATTGAAATGCTCATCTTMTATATTATTGAGAACTGGTTGGATGGCAGARCTCAGCGGGTGGTTTATAAATGGGGCCGAGGCCAGTTGGAGGCCTGTGGCCAGTGGTATCCCCCAGGGGTCAGTTGTGGGCTGGGTGCTGTTCAGCCTGTCCATCAATGACTTGGACGAGGGCACAGAGCGCACCCTGRCTAAGTTTGCAGATGATCYCAAGCTGGGTGGAGTGGCTGACACTCCAGAGGGTTGTGCTGCYATCCAGAGGGACCTGGACAGGCTGGAGAGTTGGGCAGAGAAGAACTTCATGTGGTTCAACAAGGACAAGGGCGGGGTCCTGCACCCGGGCAGGAATAATCCCAGGTATCAGTACAGATTAGGGATTGACCTGCTGGGGAGCAGCTCCGCAGAGAGGGACCTTGGAGTGCTGGTTGACACCAAGTGAACCATGAGGCAGCAGTGCCCTCGTGGCCAAGAAGGCCAATGRGCTYCTGGCTGCATCAGGAGGACGTTGCCAGCAGGTCAAGGGAGGGGATCCTGTCCCTCTGCTCAGCTCTGGTGARGCTGCCCTTGGAGCATTGGGTGCAGTTCTGGGCTCCCAATAGAAGAGGGACGTGTCTTGTTGAGGGTTGCCCTCTTTGTCTCGTTGAAGGCTGCCAAACTTGCCGCTTTGGAACCTTTAATGATCAACCCGATGGCTCCTGTAAAAACTGGACAAAGTAAGTAATCAAAAAATAAATGATACTGCTACTGCAATTGACTGAATTCATTTTCATGATTTTGTTTTTAAATATTGTTCAGATGCTCTGCAAGCCAGGTCCTGGAACATGGAACTACAACAAGAGATGTCATTTGCAGACACACTTCAGATAGTCCTGCTKTAGCCACTACTCTACCCACCACTTCTCCTGCCTTTCCCTTTTCTAKCGTGGTTCCAGGTTAGTCATCACATAATATTGTTCAATTCTTGCTAAAGAATTACAACTTTTCTGAGTACTGAGAGTACTAGAGCTTACACACATATTGAAATCAAGAGGACTTTCTTGTATCCATTTCTAATATTGCAAAACTAATCTAGAAGCAGGCACATTGAGGTGGCAGTAAAGAAGCTGGCTAATTCAGCTGCAGTACAAATTTGCTCTGTAACACTGAAGAGAATGCTGTTTGCTTGGCAGGGAAGGACCTCCAGCTGGACATCATCAGAATTTCTCTTGCTGTAACGGGGCTGCTGTGCCTACTGTTTCTGCTGCCTTTGTGCATATGCTTCAACATTTGGCAGAAAAAGAAACTATGTGCCATGTTCAAAAAAAGTAAGATGGATGCACTTTTAAATTGTTGGGGTTTTTTTGTTTGTTTAWTTTCCTTTTTGAAACTGGATAGAAAGTAGGAATCCAGGTTTAGATGCCTTCAGAAGATAGTTGCAGATATGTTGAAAATTTCCTGTGGAAGTCAGAATAACTGAAAGGAATCTAAAGTTTTGGAATTTTTATTATCATCAGGTCTCCGGTAGCTGTGGCTGTTTTATCAGTGTTGCAGGTTAACTCTGACCACATCCACAAAGGTGAATAGGCTCAGCTGAGCTTTGCTTATCCTGTTAGGATTTAGTTTTATCACTTCCAAGCACCATCCCTGGCACATGTGACAACAGTGCTTTCCAGTCCCATCTGCTCAGAAATAGTACCTACGGCCCAGAGCCTGAACGTCCTAAGGCCAGCAACAAACAGCACCAACCAGACTGCCTGCTGTTGTGCTCTGGGRGTATTTTTGACATTTTATTGACAGTAAAAGAGTGAATATCAAACAGAGATATGTCGCTACACAGATTCAGAGCCATGAATATGTGACTCTCCAAGTTATCATTTCAACATGAAACTGGGAAAAAAAATAGGTTTTTCTTTTCTTACCTAAGGATATGAGGGTAAAGGCTTCATCCTCTAATGTGATTCTGATTATAGGAGAAAATAACACTGGTCCAAAAATCTAACAGTTCCATGTTACTCACTCTTCCTTTCATCCCTTGTGGCAAACAAAGACCTAGCAGCCCTTGGTGCACTGGGAAAACAAAGTATGATAAATTAATGCATCAGAAACATCTATGTAGAGAAACAATTTACAATCAAATTATTATATTACTAAGATTTTTACCTGCTTATGTCCTGCACGTGTGACTGAGAAAGGGTGGAATAAGAAGCCTGGATATGTTCAACAGAATTTGAATGTATGTTTTCTTTCATTAGTGCATGCCACACTTGAACAAACAACTCAAGAAGACGATGCCTGCAGCTGCCGCTTTCCCGAGGAAGAGCAAGGTGAATATCACGACTGCGGCAAATCCACAGAATGCAGAGATCCTTTGGTGAATTAGGAATTGTACCAAAATTTTGTTTTCTTCGAGAATGCAGGGCACGAACCTGCCTACGGAACAGAGAGACTATCAGAATCTGTGAATTTCAGAGTGCTTAATAGGCCAACCAGATACTGTACTTGATCCACAGACTTAGACRTGTACATCACTTCAAAGTGGTAGAAAGGGTGTATAGCTTTCTGGTCCCCCTTTATAAATTATRTCTGGGCCATAATTTACATGCAGCCTGAAAGCAAGTAGCATATAGCAGACTCGCACGTGACACTGCTGGTCTCTATATTGTGGTTACCAACTCTTTTCTTGAATTTGAAACCTGCAGCTCCTCTTCATGAGTGGCTTGAATCATAAGTGTTTGGTTTGATTTACAAATACAGAGAAATGCCATTTAAAACTTGCAGATGCCAATTGCCCTGGAAGCAGATACCYGATTTGACCTGTGCACAGCTTCTTAGTTGGAAGAGAGGAATTTATAAAAGTCTAGAGCTGCAAAGTTTGATAATAGCTTGCATCCGCTGTTACATTACATCAATTGGCCTAAGAGAGGCAGTGGAAACGCTGAGAAAATTTGTGGTTGACTTGATCTCAGAAATAGATATTACAATGCAACTGGACTGCAACATCTTGAAGTCCTACATCATTCCACTTTGATCTTTTAAATGATATAAATATATTATGTACCTTGCAGATGTGGTAAATGTAGAATGTGATACATTTCTGTTACTATTTTTGTAACTCTGAGGTTGGAAAAAAWTTAACATCAAACAGTGTATCTGCCTGTTTGATCAATGACTATTACCTTAGCCTTAAAAGAGAGAAAAGAAAATGGGTGTTTGAGTCATGGCATTGGCAGTAATACTACTAACCTTTTACAAAACCAAGTAAGTATCTTATGTTCAATAAATATTATTTGAAAATAGAATGAAAATCTGTAAACATGTCTCCTAAAGAGTATTTTCTTTTCCTGTGACTAAAACTTAGAAGAATGCTGTTGTGCTAGAAGAATGACAGACTGACTTTCTGCTCAACAGAAGATTAAGATAGAAGATTATTTTCTCCAAACCACACTTATTTTGATCAAATTGTACATAAGTGGTTACAGATCAGCATGTTAGGAAATAAATGTATTTCTGGAGCCTGAACTGCAAAGATTATTTAAATTTCTGTTTTTTTTTTCCTCTACAATTTTTTTTTTCTCTACAAAATCTCCTCACCTCTCTATCAGTACTTTCAGTCATAAGAAATATGTGACTATCAAGTCAAATTCACACCCTTAAAGACATGGGCAGAACATAGGAAAATCCACCAATGTATTCACAAATTGTCATCCTGGCAACAGTGGTGCATGTCTTAGGAGAATATACAGGAGTTCTGCTTGTGATTAATTTCTAATCTAATTTGAAGTTCTAATCTAATTTTAATTTAAATAGGACTAAAATTACAGAAGTAGTCTTCCTTTAAACCAAAGGAAGATACAGTCGATTCTGCCTGTGATTTCTGTCAGAAGAAAATGAAGAAACCTATATTAATAACAAAACATTAACTTTGTTGCCACAAGAATCCCTCAACTGTATGCAAATTTCCATTTTACAACAATGCACCTCTTTCAGCCACAGAAGCAGAGTACTTATTATATTTATCCTCTACCTTTCCTTGTCTTAATTGTTAGGTCCAAATCTTTGCTGAAATTCTGGGGACACTTCAACATGTGAAAGTATAGATTATTACAATATTTTTATATTATTCAAACTTTGGGGAAAGGATGGAGAAAGGGAGGAGAAATCTGTAAAAAATCTACTGTAAGCTGCTGTTGGTTACCTGTATTTTTGATAGGCCAYGTGCATCTTGGCTTCACAGGCAGCTCTTCATGGAAGAACAGACTCTTTAATTCTTTAGTATCTGAATAAACTTATCATGTCACCTAGAAATAATATAGGTCACTCCTCGTAATCCTTTGAGCTGTATCTCTTGTCTGCTTTCTGTGACTCTCTTTTCTCAACAGTCTTTGTCATTTATTGTGTAGCAACCAAGAGGAAATGGGAATGCCATGATGAGTCAAGCAGTGCAGGTGGTTTGGGATGAGGTAACAGGCCACATGCAAGCTTTTCACTTGTCTATTTGTTTTTCTTGGAAGTCAGCCAGTGTCCTACTAGCCAGACCGTGTATGGAGGCCTTGGTGACATCAGACCAGAATTCTGTAGGCATGGAAAAAGGAGATATATCCTCATTAAATATAAGTTTAAGCAGGGCAGCCTGCTGCCTTTTTATTGCTTCCAAAACCAGTACCATTTCCTGGCACAGTTACTGGTAGCAGTAATTAAAACCTTGGTCACCAGATGTCTTGATTCCATTTTCCTGGAAGAACTGCATAGGTAAGTTCTGTGCCTGATGCATCTGGAGAGGAGAGTCCCTGAAATTATTATAAGCATACTATAATTCTTTTAAACTGAACACGATTTCTTATTTTCAGTTTCTGCTAGATCTTTCATACTTACTATGTCACTGCAGCAATTGTGTCTTGGCCACTGTGAGTTCCTCAGACATCTTCTTCCCCCTTCAGATGCTTCAATTACACATCTATTTCTTAAAAACCAAGAACAATGCTTACTGTTTTGTGAAAGCTAGTCTTCCAAAGAATATCCCAGAAAGCACATGGATTACATAGAAAAATGCCTCTAATTGTGAAATGCACAGAAAGTTTTCTAACGGAACAGACACTGCTTAAAGAACCGAAGACATAAGACGTGCTCCTCTATATTGCTCACTTTGGGTGAAGCTATGCGTATATGTTATATTTGAAACAAATGACAACTTACCTTTTCCTAAAATAAAACCAGTGGGTAGCCTTCTCTGACAGTCATTCAGATACTAACACCATAGCCACAAATTACTCTATAGGAAACGATTCACTCAATACCTAGGAAAAGTTATCTATTCAACAGATCATTTGTACCACATCACTTGCACCTGGCCTGTATAACACACAAAATCAAGATAAATCTCACTATCGAAATGATAGGCTTGATCTCTCACTACAGGCTGCTTCATTTTCCCTCTCACTTACAAAGAAGCCCTCCCTGCTAGAACAATTATACACAAACACACACAAAATCAGACCTCTATATTTTCCTGCTCTTTGCTTTCTCCAGAATCAGGCAAAGGAAGCGTTCCAGCCCAATTAACATATATTTTGCATGTTAGCTGTGTGTCAGGATCACACAGGTGAACATCCTTCAACCTCTGGAACCACCATGAAGATTACTATTGGATATTGTCATTGCCCTTACTGTAAATGAAAGCTTTTTACATCATCTACAAAGAAAACGGAAGTTCCCTCTAACTTAAAAGTTGGCAAGAGTTTGTTATGATATCACCTGCTAAGCTGCCTTTCTCCTTCTAGATCCTGGATTCACGCCAGGTAAAGCAACCGGCTATGGATGAGCATCTTCTGAAATCAGTGCAAATTTCTGCTGTTTGTCTGTCCTTTTTACATTTGGAAAGTAAACCACTCGTATTTGATTAAATGTGTGCAAACTCCCATGCAAATACATCTACTTTAAGAATGTTTTACTACAGTTTATCTTAAAATAACCCCCAAAACTTAAGATATTCTCAATCCATATAGTCTAAATTGAAACAAGACATTTTAAAACTGTAATAAGTGTCCAAGATACCCATCTAAGTCAGTTTGAAACCACATTTTAGATTATGTTGCCTCATTCGTTTTTTGCATGCAAGCATTTCAGCACTGCACAACAAATGTTTTTCTGGAAAAAAAGAAAAAGACTGGGGGAGGGGGAGCAGAATTGTTAGGAAGGTTAAATTGACAATTTATCTTTAATGCAACAGAGAAATATTTTTTATGAAATTCCTTCAATATCCATAGATAAAATCAACCAGCAAAGCCTCCCCATCGCTTTCTCCAGCCAAGTTTTTTTTAAAAAACTCACATGAAGCAATAAGAAGTGGCTAAATATTGACCATTCTTGGGAATCATCCCATACTATAAACTGTCTTGAGAATCTTGCAAGAAAGGAGATTTTGTTCTCCTTTCCTAACTCCAGTGTAGCACGCAACATTCAGTTTGCCAATTTAGAAGCCAAAGATGTCACATCCACCTCCTAACTCTAGTTTAGGCCCCGCTTTATTTATCCCTAACATCCTCAGGGACTGACTTAGTCAAGATCAATCAGAATCTATCAGTCAGCCATCATTGAGAAAATCAGTTAGCATTTGTTGTAGCAAGAATTCTTTCATGAACAGGAATCCATCTCTTAAAACAGTGAAGGGAAGATTGTGTGTGGCTGGCTGCCAAGAAACACTCATTCATTTACACAACAACCTTGAAAGAAAGGTTTTAAGCATTAGGTTGCCTGGTGAAACCTTGGCCAACTTTCCCCCCAGTAAGTACACAAATTTGTCCCAAAACCTGAATCATGGAGCCGGCAGAGATTCCATTTAATTAACAGAAATATTTCAAGTAGTGAAGAATTAAACAGATTATGCACTTGGAAAGTTTAGAACAAAATTAAAGTCAGTCTCTGTGAGCCATTAATTTGCTGCTTATGCTAAGTAGGAGAGATAAATGATGATGATTACTATGAGGCCTCTTTAATTAGTCAGTGGCTCTTCTCCAAGCACTGAGCTTCTATAGAACTGCCTGATATTTGTCCTCTAATTGTGGAGGGAGTTAGAAACTATATTGCCTTGCAAAAAAATCCTGGAGCCTGAAGAATCTATTCTGTCCAACCCCCTACTCAGCCTAGGAAGAAAAGGAAGAATSAGAAGGGCACTGCTGCTTCCCTACCGGTGCTTCGTTAGTGCTAGCTTTCAAAATCTGCATTTGCAGACTTAAGAGACAGAAGTATATCTAAGCAAAGTGTCCACTAAAACCCTCACATAGACAGATGGTTGTATGGGCAGCTCCCAGACACAAAGGTTATGTACTCAAAGGTGAAAGGAAGCAGAAAGCAAAGCTAAACTCCACAAATCTGTTTATTCAAAACATCCATTTTTTCACAGAAGATAATTAGCGTAGCTGTATTCCGCATGTTTATTCATTTATGTACCAAGCACAACAGTTGTCATGCCTGTGCAGCTGCATGGGCTGCAGCAGTGCGGTCAAGGGCTCTGAGAGGCTCCAGTGCCACCATGCAGCCCCTGTCCATGGTCCTGTGCTAGGACTCCTGATCCTCCTTCACCCCTCTTCAAGGAAAGGGAACAGAGCTCTCTGCTCAGAAAGGATGTGTGTGCAAGAAGAGTAAAACATTTTTTTTTCCTGAATAGAACAACAAAAAAGATGCCCTTTCCCCCCTCAAAACAGACAATTTGGAGATCTTTCCCCACGACCTGCTCCGTGGTCATTCCAGGCTTGGTCCTGCCTGCTGAAGCGGACTTTCCCGGTATCTGCTCCTTGGCCACTCGTGCCGGGTTTGTTCAGGAGGTTTCTCAGCGCCACCTTCTGGGGCCACCTACATAATTTCATTACGAATCCCTTAAATCCCCTGAGGGACAAAACCAGCACGAGCAAGAACGTTTTGTTTCTCTGAATCGCAGTCTGCACCAAATAAACACACACTGCTGGTCAAGGCACRCTGAGTAGCTTTTCAAATGCAGCCATCTAAGGAAAACTCAATGTTGCTCAGAAAACCGAAGAGGAAATTATGCTTACCTATAGCAGTCCCTTCCACTCACCCATTCCCACAGCAGGAACAAAGAGTCTGGCACACGGACCAGGATCTCTGTTTAGGACTACTCTGGATTACAGGAAGGTGTCTTTACTTCAGTGCTTTGCCTATAAAATGCCTCTCATTGTACTTTTCAGCACTAAGGAAGCCCAGACTGGAAACTGCTGCTGACTCCAGTCACAGCAGCGCTGCAGAAGCAGCCTTGTGTCCCCAAAGAAAGGCAGTTCAGCTCTCCAGCTTGCTCCTCACCTGCGTCTCATGGAATGCGAGTGTAAATACGGAGAGCTGCTGGATTCCAGCCTACACCTTTCAGCAAGACTGCTCTGTACTCCCTTCGGTTTGGAGTGCTAACTAGAAAGATTGAGGTAAAGGCATTTTCATTCTTCTGCTCTCCAGACCATAATTTCTTACTAGGCTGAACAAATTATTTGGGATACTTTGGGAGAGAGGGAGAAAATAAGRAAGGAGTTATCTTTYTATTTATTTATTTTTTAACTGTAGAAAGTTTCCTCTTTCCCTATACCATCTGCTTTCATCCTTTCATCTTTAAAAATAAACCCTTACTGCATAGTCAGTTCCATTACATTTTTTGAGGAACAAACCTTATTTTGAGAATCGGTCCCTGTTCCTCTGCTCGTGGCTGCGTTACATGGAATCTGATTCCCAAAATACACTGATGTGCTATATTTCTAGCTCCAGACATGCCAGGCTTACTTTACTTCATGTTAGACAGTGCCTAAGCTTAACTTGTTAATTCCGCAGTGCTAGATGGACAGGAGAATTAAGGACCAGCTTGTCAAGCTTCACTTGAAGAATATACCCAGGCCATAGTGGGCCAGCCCAGCATGGCCAAAAACTCAAGAGTTCCCTCCCGACAATCTAATGGAAACTATACTACAAAGCAGCAATGTTTTGGCAGCTGTGATCACGCATTAGTCCAAAAAGTTTTAGGTTTAGGTGCCAATTGCATAGCAAAATAAAATATCTTTAGACAGACTTAAGAGTCTTACCATTTTCATTTATGCAGAGATTTGCATTCGGTTACACAGACATGCAAGCCCTTCAGCCCACCACAGAAGTGGAAAACCTAGGTCCATTACTCACATCTTGAATAACTTTGAGACAAATTCAAAATAGACATACTACTGTGTGTAATTAAATATACCATATAGCACTATTCAGTTATAAAGAATATTCACCATAAATGCTACATTACCTTTCTCGCACAGGAGGAAAAATGAACATCTTGGAGAAAGGAAGTTAACAGCAAGTGCCCAAGTTACGGTTAGGTTCCTCCTTTGATCCACGGGTCTCCCAACAGGCTATTTTCTGCACAGCGATTCCATTGTCATGACATGGAAAATTCAAGTTTGTAATCGCCACTCTAAAACGCACCGTATATGTAAGGCAATGCAAGCAGGTGACATACAACTTGTTGCATATATGATTTCATAAGGCAGTTATTTTCACATTAAAATAGATTTACTAATCATATGTTATAAGGCTAAATATTGGCTACAGTGAGAAATTCTAAGTTAAAATTAACAATGTAAGTGTTAATGAAGACAAGACTCTGCTAGACCAATAAGGAGAGGAACAAAGGAAAACAATAGGCAACACCATCCCCAAAAACACGCTAGTCCCTTGCAGGGGCTACAGGTACTTTTTGTCTTACACTTGCTGCTATGTGTATGTGTTTAAACATACGCATATGCGTTTAACACTAGACATATATTTAATGTGCTCATCTACACTTGCACTGTCCATATAAAGATATTCTACTGTTTACTTTGCTTTATGCAAACTAAAACTGAGACAAAGTCATGTTTCAGAAAGAAGTCTCTTAGACATAGGCGACTATTAAATCATGAGGTCTCTTCTGTGTAGCTCCTTCTTTTAGCGACAGCCACAGTACTTCATGAGAATAATATACAACTTGTGCTTAGTTGTCAAACTACTTTAAAACAGTGGAAAGAAATTTTGCATTATGGGTCAGATTTTGTCCTTCCTATTTAACACAGAAGTTAGCTAGTTTGTAAACCTATGGAAATTTACAATTTCAATTTGTTTGCATTTTTTTCTTTATGAATCATCATTATAAACAACAAAAAAGTTGTTTCTTCTGATAAAGACAATTTTTATGATAGGTTAACCTATAACTACTATGCAATTTGCTCACTTATCTCTCTGAACTATCCTATCTTAAACTAAAGCACTATCCTTGAAACAACTTCTATTAGTATAGATAAGACTTAAATTTTACCAGAACTGTTGACCAGAACAGAGAAAAATACATTTTTTAAAGTTTTGTTTTGTGTTTTTTTTTTTGCAAATCATTTCCCAAGTTTTGAAAGTGCAAGTCACATCTACCTCTCTCACCCATGAATTCAGGGATTTGAACCTTTGTTTAGGATGAGTTGTTTCTTTGCTTTGCATCATGACGTATGCACTGTCCCCTGAGGAAAATGCCTTTGACATTTCAGTGGAGGAAAGACTAAGTGACAACTTCAAATCTGAGCAAAGGCAATAAGCTGGGGGCACGGTGCCAAACTTCTACATGACGCACTTCATGATCGCTCTAAGAGGCTGAGTCTTACTGGTGAGAAGACAAAGGACACAAGGCACTTGTGAAGAGTGCTTCATTAGCTTTCCTTGGAGGATGCACTCAGCAAATATTGATGATGCCATTGTCATTGATAGTACACTGAAGGAGAAGTTTTGTGCCAAGTACCCAGCACCAACAGTGAGATCATGCAGCAAATCAGACCTAATTACTATCTGCAGCTTTGGAATGAAGAGTTGCATGACTCAGATGAGAAGAGAGAATTCCTCTCTARCTCCTTACTTCTCTCAGAGAGGAGCACAGGGAATGGAGCACATAAAATAGATTAATTCTTAATTCTGCGCAGAAGTTCTTTTGACTTTTTCATCAACTTCAGGATAGAAAGAATCAGGGAAAGGTGGGTTTTTTATATATGAGTCTCATAGTATTTTGAACAGCATTTGAGTGCATAAAAGTTTGATTCAGGAGTGGAGAAAAAAGTTCCTGAACTTCTATTTATTATCAACCTGAGCATGACTCACCTTTTTTATCACCTAAAGGAAAAAAAAATCATAAACATGCATTCTTAAAATTTAAACTATCTGTATACAGTTGAGTGTGATGCTTCATACAGAAAGAAGATGCGCATGCAGTCCAGTAAGTTCTTGCTCTTTGAGGTAAAAAGAGAAATTATAAGGAACAAATACATAAAACACGGAGAGTGGAAAAAAAAGACTGAAGTGATGAGATTACACATTATACAGGGCAGTTTTTATGTTAGCACCAAAGAAAAGCAAAAAGCAAATGGATGACAGAGCAGACAAGTGGAAGTGCAAAGGGTCTTCCAGTCCAGCGAGGACCAAGTTTAACACTGATCAAGGCAGTTTATACACAYCAAGCAAGTCTCCAGATGGAAGCTGTACTTTTCTCTGCCAAGACAATTCTCTAGGGCTACATTGAAAGAGGCCTTCTCAAATAAATAGATGTAAAATGCTACAAGAAAAATTACAAGAGAGAAAGAAAGGAAAAAAAAAGAGAAGGAGAGACAGAAAGAAAAGATAAAAAGTCCATTTTTGTTGTTGTTGTTAATTAACTATACATTTTAACTCCCTTCTCTCCTTTAGTTCTTCTGGCACAAATATCCCAAGCTCAACATAACAACACATCCATCCATCTCACGAAAGGGAGAGGAAAAAAAAAGTGCATTTCATATCAGATGCTTTGCGTCAAGCCTGCTAAGGCTCATATATCACCTGTCTTAGTGCCTTGGTCATTTCAACCAATGTCTGACCCTTTCACTAACTCATGATTTATAACTGCAAGTTACTTTTTTTTTTTTTTTTTTAATGCTAGATTTATAAACTTTACTGTGCGGGGTTTGATATAATATCCATTTCGTACACCAAGCAATAAGACAGTAAATTTATTGTCTATGAACTGTTACCTTGAAAAATTACATCAATGCAAAGTGGTTTCCATTTAGAATCAATGGGCAATAAATTCATTGCATTTTTTTTTGAAAGGGGGGGGGGACATAATGATATTTATGAGGTCATGAGCGGCTATATAACGGGTGAAACTGGGAGCAGAGGCACCAGTCAGACACAAGTTCTGAGTTACAGGGTTGACAAAGACGAAATATATTCAACACAGCAATGATGCATAAGCTTGTATTCTGCTGTCTCATTATCATCAGCTTCTCCTGTCCTCTCTTATCTGCTCCCATCATCAACGCCAGTGAGATGTCCTATCAGCTCTCAGGTAAGCCTTCTGTTTTTATGGGTGTAAAGCTTAGCAGGGAATGGGGTAAGAAAGCATTCCCCATGCAAGGGGGTACAATGCTGAAAGAAAAAGCAGATATTGTTTCAGAAGGCACTTTTATCTATGTTCATCAGTTGTTGGAAGAGCAGAATCTGTATGGCTTCAGAGCACCAGCAGCACTAATGATCTTATTGGTTTGTGCTAGCATTATAGAACTGGGAGGCTGGGCACCCTAAATATTTCCTATTGCTGTTCTGAAACCCAGGATACAAGGTAGCTGAGCTTTGCGGCACTGCATATGCCTCTGAATAGCTGTCTTTGAGGCAGCATTAATATATATAAGACAGTTTAAGAAAACCTGTCTGTACAGTTTTCCCTCTTACTACACTTTAAAAGGACCTATATTTTACTTAAGTTATCATTAAAAAAGGAGAAACCTACAACAAAGATTAATACAATCCGACTTAGAGATCAAGAACAGGTCAGTCTACCTTATGCTGCAAAAATAGCTATGCACCGAGAATATTATTTGCTTGCAATAACACAGATTCCATTTAATCAGTGAAATAATAAATCTCTACTGCTCTCAAAGTTGGAAATGATACTTTACAGTCAAGACTGCAACCCCTCTGTGGAAATGCACAGGAATCCAGAGGGCTATTATCATTAGAAATTACACGTGGTGGACTAGTTTTGTGAAGTGAGTTTTGAAAGAACAGGCAAATCCAAAACTAAATTCTCTCAGAGAGCCAAAAGGGAAAAGGGTGTGAGATAACTTGCTTTGCTGGTAAGAGAGATATTGCACAGGCTTACTGGTATCAGTGGTCCCTAGTTTGCTTCTTAAATCCTGTGCTCACTAAGGCTGTGTCTTCTCAAAATTTCCACTACTTAACTTGCATTTACTGGCAGCCATGACTCATTACTGGTAATATCTATCACATTATAGGGCAAACAGTCTGTCTCTAACCATTTATATATAATGCATTTGTTTGAAGACATCCATCAGAGTTATTAAATCTTCCTTGCTAATAGAGTCCTTATGCTCAATACAACAAAAGTAGGACTCTTTTAATAAAGATTTTTTATTATTATTTTAAAGTTAAGTTGCCCAGTAACCCCGCCCCGYATTAAAAAGAAGACATATATAAAGACAGACACATGAWTTGTCTTCAGAGAGCACAGGGAAGTTGCATTATTTCTTACTCAGAGACTTACAGTGAAATTCCCATTGCAATCTACAACGGTCCTTTTGTTCAGCTGAGAAAGTAACATGAATTGAGGTCCAAGGTTTACAGGTGTCTTCAGAACAAGTTTCTGAAGTGTCATAAAATTATTTTTTCAATAGTATATTTTCTTGTGCAATTCCTCTCATGCAGTCTAATTCACYCTCACAAGTAAGGGCTGCTAAAACTCTGTAATATTAGTAGTATTATCTGAAATGTAGTAATATGTAGTATTATCTGAAAACATAACTACAAATTATCCTAATCTATGCAAACAGAATTTCATAATAGCTCCTTCTGTCCACTATTTGGAATGTCTGTCCACTATTTGGAATGTCTGCTATTTATTAGCAAAGATGTAATTTAGAGCTCAGATTATAAAGACTTTAGTTAGCTCGCACAGAACACCAATAAGGGCTTCTATTGGCAATGTGCCTTGAGAATATGGGCTGGCCACACAACGATAAATTACTCTCTCTATGCACATACAAATTAACTCCATCAGGTATTAGCAATCTGTCGTTTCAGACTAGAGTAATAATAGACCAGTACAGATATCCTTTGAATGAGAGAGACGGTAAAGATGCATTGGGAAGCACAGTAGTCAAAAATCTATTTTAAGATTTCCTGCACCTGTTTTTTTTCTCTGTTATATTGCATACTTGGAAATTACAGCAGATTAATACACCTTGACTACGAAGCTTAACAGAAAGGTCTACCAGATAAACAAGATCTGGGGAGACTAACATCAGGAAGACATCTTTATTCCAAGCTTTGGAAGGAAAAAAAAAATCAAAAGTTTTTTACTTTCATTAAATAATGATATGGTGACCAGTGATTTCATGATAGTCTTCAGCATATAGTGCAAACAGGCCTGATCAGAAAACATTTAAGATGAGGGAAAAAAAAAAAAATCTAAAGCAAAAGGCTCTTACCATATGCCTCTTTACATTATCTTCCATGCACAGCCAGTGAAGATTCCAGGTTGAATCCGGAGCGGGTGGGTAGCCCAGGGAGCGCTTCCCTGCTCCAGTTCCTGCCAGGGCTCCTGGGCACTCCAGCTGAAGACAACAAAGCAGGTGAGGCTTTACAGCAGCAACTTCATGCGATGCATGTCCAACAGCCACAGATGTATTGCCCCAACTCAGTATTTCACAAATATTGTCATATTTACGAAAATACAATACCATGTGCAGGAAAAACCCAGCTGTCGGTTAACTAGACCCCTTGGGAAATCTGCTGAGCAGCTGTTTGCAGCTCAGTATCAYCCAGAAAAGGTTCCGTGTTGGTTAACAGAACCTCTACATGCAAGAGACACATGCAGCTTGGAGCGGCTTCCTATGCCCGCACAAAAGCTCTTCACTGTCAAACAGAAATATCTTCCCACTTGAAATACGAAGCATCTTGGGACAAAAATCAAATGGGGTGACCAAACTTGTCTGCAATGGTACCTGTCTAACCAGTGGCGCCTCAAGCTACGAAGAGGAGACACTCATTAGACATTAGAAACTCAAGGGAAGCTGCACATCCCGGGGGGCGGGAGCCTGAAGCAGGACATCTTGGGGGGAAGTTTTACTGAGCAGCACCTGCTGTTAGATCACTTCTCCTTTAGACACAGCAGCCGTTTGGATAGGGCAGAGACCTAAAAGGAAGTAGCAGGCAATGCAAATATCATATAACCTATCTCTTAAAAAGTGCGTTTTTTTTTTTTACACATGCACGACTGGTGTAAGCTCAGAGTTTATTAATGACAAAACCTTGCATTATGTCTCCCTCTCCCAGGCCTTAGTCGCAGCAGCTACAGCCCAGGGGAAAGCAATAAAGAGGTAAGTAAAAGACCACCCCTGTAATTAAGAGCCAATGTTTTAAACTACACAGATGTGTTACCAGAACACAGATGTGTTACCAGAAGATCCACATACTTCATAAACAGTGCAGATTAAAGCATGTCATGGAGTTCAGGAAGTTGGAATCACCTAACAGTAAAGTAAGCAGTAAATCAGATCTAGAAAATCAGTAAGAACCATATATAATTAAAAAAATACATGTATTAATGCAAAATATTTCATTCTAAAAATCCCAAGTATTCTTTCCCCCCACAAAATACCCTCTAAACAAAGGCTGGTTTCCAGCTTCAGCAGGCTTCACCCAGTCTCTCTGCTGTTGGCCATGTTTCCTCATTAGAGCATGGGCTCCACACTATTATCAGATTTGTTACCGTTCACCATCAGGTAAATGCAGATGCATTGTTCTTCCTTGCTAGTCTGCTAAACGAAGTCCAGAGGCAGACGAGCTGGATGAGCTTTAGCACATCATCTGAACATTTGTGTGCCAGGGGAAGTCTCTCCTCCACAGACAGTATAGGGGACCCCATGACGAGCCAGGGGCCACATTCACCACCCAACAATAACCTGTCTCATGTTGCTTGACCTCAGACTCCCTTCGGAAGCCACCCTCGAATTGCTTTGCTGGGCCGCTTGTTGACCAAGGACAGGAAACAGTACAAGAAACGTGGGAATCTCTCCGAGTGCTTCTGGAAATACTGTGTGTAACCAGGAGAACAAACTCTTCCAGACTTTGGTTGCTTAATTTATACAGATGCCTGTAAACATGTATATAGATTTGCTTGATCTAAAATCAGAATGAAGAAACACAATGACAAATAACTTTACACTCCATGCTACTTGAAAATGAATAAATTCTTGATGTTTTGCAAATATTTTATGTGCAACTGGTATTTTCTTTGACAAAAAATTATAAATATGGAGTATGGAAACAACTCAGGCAGCAGAGGCAGGATTCCCATGGAGTGACACTTCCAAGAGCGATATCTCAAGCACATCCAGGTCCAGAGAGGACTTTCCTCTTTGCTCCCTGGTCACTCAATTTAAGTTAACGTACCAGAAAGGAAGGATACCGTCACATTCTCATATGATGCTGAGCCACTAAGAATTACAGTTTAATGGTGCCTCGTCTCCTGTCCCATCTCTAAGGCACCATGAAAACAATAAGCACATGCCAGGAATCAAGCAGCTGCTAGCACTGCCCCTGGAGAGGGATAGTTGCTTCTCTTGGCTTGGGTCACTCAAAGAAAGATTAACCAAGTATTTTTCTTTGGGCACTTTGATTAGTCCCCAGCTGCCTGAAACAGCAGGATTGCCTGTGYGCAAGACAAGCTTTATGCACTATCTGATTATCATCAAGAGATCCTAGGACTGTGTGACCAGTACTTGTGTGGCTGCACATAGAGACATGTGAGGGTGGTACCTGAATGCATGAGCACTACTAGGGTAAGCTTGCCCCTGCTTGAGCACTCAACAACCATGACATTTCATCTTCAACTCTCTGTGCCTGAGCCAGCTACAGTCTTAAGACTGAYGTGGAACAAGAAAACTGCTTTTCAGAGAACTTGGGCGCAAGGAATTTCAACGGCTCTTGCAAAAAGGCTCCTAATTGAACCCCYTTGTGCTCTTAGGAACCAGTATGCTTCCCGCAAACCCAGCCAGCTCCTGCCACGTCCTGCAATGAATATAGCTAAAGGTTCAGAAACTGTCTTTAGGAAACAGGAATCTGGATGACATGAACAAGTAGTTCAAGCTGTAGAGTCCTTCCTTGTTCAATATATGTTTGTGCACACCAATTAAGGTTCACAGAAAGCTTGAATTAAAACCATATCTAACAGTGACGCACAGATTCATCTCAACAACACGCATCATAAATCTGACTGTGCTACTCGAACAAAGACTACAGGCTTGTTCATGTCACATAAACTGTCAGACAGATAAAACCAGCTATAACGAAGAAAAATGTCCTTAAAAACGTGGAGCAGATGGATGTACTCTGCAGTCATTTGAAACCTTCTGAACATTTATCTTCTCCTTAAACAGTACAGCAAGTCAATGCCTGTCTAGAAATCCCTCCTTTCCTGCTACATCAGTCAACAAAAATAAGTGAAAAAAACCCAAAATACACCCCTCCAAACTTATCTAAATGAAGAGTCATCTAAAACAGATTAATTCCATAACAGGAAAGTGTAGAATTTATGAAGACTGGACAAATTGCTTTAATCCTATTTGGAAGTCAGATCGAGCAAGTACAAAGCAAGCACAAATAAAAAGGCAATGAATAAAATTGAAAGCATATTAGAAATAGTCAGAGGTTCTCTATCCATTTAAATAGGAGAATAAAGGAATGAAGAGGGACCTCAGGCAATAAGGATGCAGTCAAGAAAATGTGATCCACATCTAAACYCCTGCTGTAACAGAACATGCCAATTTTCACCTCTGAGATATTTCTCCTCTTCTATAAGCCAGAGACTGGAAGGSTGGACTGTCAAAGAAGGGCAAAGAACGGTTCCAAAGACAGGCGGAGAGGCCTGCAGGCCAGGCTGCTCATCATCTTCTAGGGCCAGGCCTTGAATTAAATCCGTGGCACAGGAAAGAACGGCACCGAGGCGGCTGTTCTCAATGCAGCCACTACCTCAACACCCGATTACAATCAGAAGCTTCAAGAAGTATTTTGCTAAAAGTCTACAATCACCAAAGAGCAAAAGTAAACACACACTTCAAACAGTTCTTCACACAGCGTATCTGGCTTTATTTATAAAAAAAAAAAACCCCAAAAAACAGAGTCTCCTTTAAAATACACATTTAAAATTTAAACTGTAAATTCAACTGCAGCTGAAAGTTATTTCAACAAAATAATCCTACCAACTGATATTAAAAAAACATTCAAATTGCAATTTGAAATTTAATTCAGCTGAAGAATAAGCTTAGCAACACACTTCTTACTCAGAGAATTTTTAAATCACATGCTGCTGATATCAAGTGGGGTCCTTCCTGTTCACAGCAATGCCATCAAAGCATCTGCACACCAACTCATTCCTTTTTAAAAACAAGCATACATTTATGAGTACAGAAGAACAAAAMGTTGCTAGTCAAACCCACCAAGAATTTCCAAGGTGCTGACATCCCCACAGCGGGTAATAACTGCACTATTACTGTCCTCGGGTATCCCTGGGTATTTTCCCTTCRATCACTACTTCTAGAACATTAGAAAAAGTGACTACCTAAGAAACTCTAAACCATTCACAACATTTTCATTACAGCAGGCAAAATGGAGCCCTATAAGCTAAACTGAAGTGTGCAAACCCAGCTCTAGTACTTAGTCTTTCAGATCAGAACTGGATCTCGCATAAAACTACTCTGATGAACGATGAACACTGGAAAATTAACATAAACTCCAGTGAAAATGATCAATTTCCAAATCTATGGAAACAAAGTTTGTAAGAAGTCTAGAAGGTTTGATAAGGCATACGATTGCAAGACATGGTGGTTTCAGTAGGACGAGGCGCTGCCTGGGAAGCAGGTTTTTGTCCTAAATCTGGGTTTGCATTCAGGAATGCGTGCCCTCTTGGGCATGTATTTCAGTTTCATAATCCCGGAGAGCATTATTTCACCTCTTSATTCCTCTCGCATTCCTCTGCCACACGATTACTGCTGCAAGCCACATCTAGCGCAGCCCCAGACAAGGAATCGTGCACCTGAGATTTAGCCAGGATCTCTGAATTTAAACTCCTAGAAGAGTGACTCGACATTACATGTAGTSACAGGGCATAATGCTCCCAGCACTATACACATGGCCTAGCTGATTATGTTGATTACTATGATTATGTTTCTATGGACATCAGAGAGATCAGAGACTTGAACAACTGTAGCAAAGAGATCAGGATACAGTGACTAAATATTCCTGATTTCTGTTCATTTGGTATGAATTGCGGGTATGCATCTGTGCAAGTCCATTAGGCATCCACCTCGTTTCATACAACACGGATAACAATTCCTAGCCATCTTTCTGACATATTTACAAGTCTACAAATGAAAAGTACAATTCAAGCATTAGGTACTTACCATTTGGAAGCAAATCTAATTCTTTGATAAACAGGATGACACGTATGACTGCTGAGACATTGTAAACCATGTCATTTTCTCCCCGCTCCAGAAACATCCATTGGAAAGCATACAATAAGAGAGCTGGTTTTTAAACTTCCTTTCCAGCTTATACTTCTAAACTATTTGGAAGGCAACCGCTACCCTAGTTTGGAATGTCCAAATTAAAGTCTTTCATGAAATCTCAAGATGTATTAAAGCAGTCCCTTTAAGTGCATCTAAATACAATGGATTCAATTGCATCAACTTAAGTTGACAGAAAGATGGTTAAGAAGTTTCCTACTTAAGGAAAGAAAACACATACATAAGCATCTTACGTGTTTTAGAGCAAAACCTCTAAGCAATTTTATGTCAAAGCTTGTCTCCAATGTCTCTGTAATATGTGACTTCTCAAGAAAGCAGAAGAAATTAAGTTCAATCTATTTTTTTTAGCATCAATACTATGCAATGGAAAACAAAATGGAGAAATTAACATTTAAGCTCAAATGCATTTGCAAACCAATTACCTCAATTTCAAAAACCGTTCCTGAGAGGCATACTTTTAAAGGCAAAAGCTATGAAACAATTAGGTATGAATATACTTAATACAAAACATAAGAAATAACTTCTCAGTTGAGTTTATTTTTTTGATGGGCACAAGTTGAAAAAAGGCATTTTGCTGCAAAATAACTTGGTCAATTTTCAGTTGCTCATAAATCAGCCTACTGCACTTTAGAAGCAGTTACTGACATTTTGAGAGCTTCAGAGTAGTCAGATGTTCAGCTTGGACCTTCGAACGCTGAAGAAATAATAACAATGAAGAGCATTCCGTGGTATAGGGATTCAATACTACAAAGCACATTTATCTTCCTGGAGCATAAATGTACTCTGCTCTGTTAGGGCTACATCAACGTAGGTTCTTATAGTGCATCTTTTCATACTCTTACCTGACAGGTTAAGAAAAAAGCCTTTTGATCACTCAGYGATGAGAAAAATAGAGAGTTACAACACACCCCATTCTGTGTCAAGTTTTTGAGGTCAGGAAAAGAAATAACCTCCCAGTCAGTGTCTTCAAAATAATGTTGAGTGTGCGGTGTTAACGAAGACAGTTTCACATTCATACTCATGTTTGGGAAAAGACATTTGGATAGATCCACTGCTCCTATGTAGCGAAGCCAGAGGAAAAGAGAGTGGAAATGATACCAGGTAGTTTTACTGACACAGGTGCTGATGTCTTCAGCTTTGCAAGAGCRGAGGTGATTTTTCCTTTTTGTCCATATGGTCATCAGCCATTGCAGCCTCATGACTCTTTTCCCTCATGTCACATGTAACACAGCMCTTTAAAAAGGAACAAGAACATAACCAGTTAAATTCTCCTTTTACGAGCGTAAGGGTAATGTAAAATATTATCTCTTTAAATCTCACAACTGTCTGCAATCACTTTAAGGACAGAGATTCTGCAGGTATCTTTTTTTCAGAGGCAGATACTTGCACCTCCAACTCAGCTTATTCCAGAAATGAGTCCTTTAGTTACTTAGTTTTGAAATGAAAAGGTRCATTATTTCCTTTAATATGAAAGATTATGTTTCAGTTTTACAAGCACGATCCTCTTAAGGCTTTATAAATAAAAACTTGTTTTGCAGTCTGAACATCAACAATGTTGAACAAAAAGACAGCACTAAAAATTTGAAAGTCTTGACTGTTTTTTTCTTTTTCTTTGGCAATGGCTTAATAGGAAAAAATAAAAGAGC